TTTTACTGAATTGCTGGGATGCGTATGGTCGCTTGTATTGGCACTGAATGATCACGTCGACCAAGCAGGGGTAGGCTGTATGCATTGTCTATACATTGTCCGGAAACCGAGAAGCGATATGTCTGTCTAGTAGGCAATAATATCTGACCAGACTACTAGCCGATGTAGAAATACTGATGTGGCTCGAGAATGGGCCCTAAGGCAAAACGGCACTAGTGGGTTCCGTTATTGATCGGCGAACGTTCATCAACCAGTATCAATATCTCCCAATCCAAACCGGCAAGACAACCAGCTCTTGGCTCAGTGGTTAGACTCCTGAGAGTTCAAGTCCCGGTTGGTGTACCACTTGGGGTTTGGTATGACTGGCTGACGATGAAGAATAAGCCTGAAATTGCCCTTTCAATCTCCCTTATCTTTGCCAGCAAAACTACCAGAAAAAAAATGATGTGCCCTCAACCAATAAATTAAGGAAAACAAATATGCCTTACTTTCATGACTCCTAAAGGATGAGCGAAGTATCATCTTTCAATGAGGACGGACTAAGGATGAACATTAGACAGTTCGGTCAAGCACTCTACGAAATCATGGCAAAATGTAAGTCATCACACCTGCCTCTCCCTTCCAGCGGGAGAATAAAAATTTACTTGACCGGTATATGCCGAGGCCACCCGAGTAGACTGCATCTCCAGCGTCTACTGACTACTATTCAATCCTGACTAAACCTGCATAAAATTACAAATCCGATCTTATTCTTTTAAAATACATGTTAACGAGCTCCAGGAAGAGGGAGAGGATGGATGGATCCGAATGTGTGGCCAGTTTTGAGCTAAGCAATGCGACTGAAATGTCAACATAAAGTTCTGATTGCGCAGCGATGCAAACAATCTGCGACCAGTCAGGCAACGTTTATCAGTCAAAAGATTTCACGGTACAAGGGAAGTTCCAAAAACACCCAGTAAGGAGACATACAACACCGACTCGTTATATGATTTAAAAGATTGCGTCTGGGGAGTTCAGCCGCCAGGTCAGATCAACGCGAAACGTGGGTGACAGACAGTTCCGCCGGTGAGATTACAGTGTGCAATCGTCAACATTTTTCATAATGATTTGGCCCGGCCTTCAACTGAAGTTCAATAGACATGTGTTAGCACGTACTGCCAATGTAGAAAAATAGGACATTCAACGGACGCGATTACGACAAAACCCCAGGTTATGAACACGCTTTGAAAGAATGCTGTGTTCGGTTTACAAGAACGGCAACCCGTCCGAAGACACTGATATCGGAGAGCCAGAGTAAGCACTGCGAACATCAGACAATCAACAGGAAGCGAGTCCAGATGACCGGATGCACAACAAGAATATAAAGGTGGCCACAGGGAGGACAAGGCAGATAGAAGTTCACATACCAAGACAATGCACGGTGCTACACTCCTCTTCTGTTTCGCCATCATAACCATCACGGCAGTCTCCGCAAGGTAAGTTCACAACTTGCGCTTCCCTCTAACTCACATCCACTCTTTAGGAACGACGTAAGTCTAGCTGCACTCTACATTCTGGCTACTTCATTTTATGCAACTCAGCCAATAATATATGAAATTAGCAGAAGTTATGCAGCAAACGCCGTTAGTTGAAAACCGGAGAGAATACACTTGTTTAAGACCTGAAACCTAGGGTCCTGAGGCTCCTTAGACTTCATATACTGGGATGATAGCTGGAGATAATAACGATGATGGTGATTGCGATTACGGAGAAACGCGAATTAGGATAGCTTAGACCACAAAATTAACTCCAAAGAGCATCCAATCCCTTAGTTTCAGGTAAGAATGCAAAGACATTGTCTGACGGTGTTGTCTAATCACTGTATATTACAGGAAATGCAAAAATGTATGTGTGCTCAGCGAATAAAGTAAGGAACACAAACATGCATTGCTTTCATGAATCGCACAGGATCCACGCACTACGATGCTGACGAAACTCGCAGAAATGAAGAAATTCTTCAATGAGGATGAACTTGGCATGCAGATGAAGGAGCTCGGTGATACATTCTGCGAAGTCATGGCAAAAGGTAAGTCTTTGCACCTCCCTCTCCTCTAATGATCGCACTTCCTTCAGTTCGGCAGCACGTTCGAGCGGACCTGAGGACGTATCTCCGAAAATTGCAGGCTGAAGCACACCACGAATAATGGCAGTTGCCCAGGAATACCTTTGAGGAAAATGTGATTTCCCGCATAATATTAAATAAAACGTCTCATTCCCGATGTATCTATATGCCCCCCGCTTCACCCCCATGTTTATCATTGAATAAAAACAATCTACAACGACAAAAAATAACTTTAGTTTTACGCTCAGGGAGGGAATAGTCGCATCCCTTTTTGCGAGTGGCATTGAAAAGTGCAGATTGTGACAAGACAGGATCGAACGTTACATGGCTCACCAGCGAATGAAATAAATTACAGAGTACTGTTAGAGTGTGCTGCGCAAAGCAACGGGTCTCAGTGTAGAGAATATGACGCAGCCCGACCCGCCAAGGGGAATTTTCAAAGGCGATAAAGAACGCCAATTCTGTGGAGATGCCTTAGAGTTTGCTGCACAAAATAACGGGTCTCGGGAGCAAGATGATAATGTGAAAGATGTGAAGCGCCCACTCATTATGGCTTCACACAAAATATTCAGATGGTGGACACTCGACAACCCTAGATGAATCGACATACAACAAAATATCGGAAAACTGATCCATGGGAATATTCGTAAAGGCATAAGGGAAAAGTCATTCTCAACAGCAGAAGTTAAACGCACGTGATGCTAGAGGGCACATACAAATTCACGAATAATGCATCAAACATTTAAGTAATCATGAATTTATGTTCAGCAGCAATACCATAAGGATATTTTACGCGGGAAGCTTAGTACTTACCCATACCAAGGACAAACAAAACCACATTAGAATTTAAAAATCAAGTAACAGCATATCAATTAGTTGAGCAGTAATTAACACAGACGCTGTTGAGACCATTTGCAATCAAGATGTTGTAAAAGTAGCCAAAGCTGCGATATTGCCGTCTAACTAAGCCTTGCGTGAGTCCCCAAGGGAAAAAAACGACAAGAAGAGGGCAAAAGTAGAAGTCTTTTTCCACACCTAGTACAGAGTACTTATAGCAAGCGAAGCATACAAGATTGGACCAATCAAATTGTGTACTTGAGGGGTAACATTTTGTCTATGTGACCGCCGTCCTGTGTTGTTAGCCATAAGCATGGTCAAATTGGCAAGAAGACGAGGCCCTCCTAATGGTTGGTGGCGCAGAGACGACAACCTTTCCGGGAACGGAAAGTGCGAAGGCGTTTGGGGAGAATGGAATTGGCGCCGAAAGCTAACAGATGCAGGCCTCTGATGGTGACACTCAAAGCCGATTACACCCTTCTGACCTCACCGAAAGAACGTAAACCTTTGGATTTACAGGAACCTAGGCCAAACAGATGCTCTGAATGGCGTCAGAAAAGAAGCAGGTCATAAACAACAGAGCTTCCGGACACAAGTAAACTGCATTGCGTCCTCACAGGGACCGAATACACCACCTGATGTCTTGGTGGCGTGTTCAATTCGTGGTACACAAAAATGACCGAATCGCGTAGGTAAACCCACCGCCGAAGCTGGGGACAATTACACACGAGTGTGGCCTGCGGCGCCTTGCAATAGTCCAAAGGTTCGAACTCCCTACCACTCGCAATTCCTTGTATAAACAGCAGTATATATACCTATATAAATGTACCTCATCTTCGAAGAGTAACCATAACAACAGTCCGCCAGAAGCTACAATGAAAGTCGGTATTCTGACTGTCCTTCTACTTGCCACGGTCTACAGCATCAGGTACGT